AAAAAAAAAAAAAGAAACTGAAAAAAAGCAAAGTGAAAGTGAACTGAATAATGTAAATAGTTCTGTGTTGTGCTATTGAAATCAGAAAAAAAAAAAATAATAAAAATAAATAAATTAAAAAACAAGCAAACAAAAGGAAAAATAAAAAAATTATTTAAACTGTTTGTAAATAGTGCTGTGCTGTGCTATTAACCAAATCAAAAAAATAAAATAATAAAAACAAACAAACAAAAGGAAAATTTAAGAAATTATTAAAACTGTTTGTAAATAGTGCTGTGCTGTGCTATTCAAAAAAAAATCGATCAAGTGAATTAAAAAACATAAAATAAAAAAACAAAAACCGAAATGTATCGATTCTTCGAAAAGTGCAATATGCCCACAAATTCCTCTGCTGAATGGAATCAGCATGTGCGAACGGAGAAGCATAAAATGAATGCTATTGAACCCGTGGATTCCCGGGTCAAAAAAGTAGCAGATGGATTTCGAGGGAGGATCCTTCACTACCTGTTCGAGAATACGCAGGCAGGAGTGATATTCCCAGCATCATTTCTACGAGAGGCAGGAGACGCATTTCTGCCTCATCTAGCAACAATTTTGGAAAGCTATGCATCCGTAAAAGTTAATTTTGAACTTTTCGGTTTGTATAAGCTATTAAAAGATGAAGAGGAGTGTATGGAGATGAAGTCATTTCAATCGAAAATGACAATTCTCTCCATGCACTCAGACATTAACAATGAATATGAGGACCACACCGAGAAAATAATTGGGAAAATGGATGAGTTCCAAGAGAGGGATAGTGGATGGACATTGGTCCACATCGCTCGGCTTGAGATGAACGTGAACCAATATTCACCAATAAGAGGATCGTCATTTATCCAGCTACCTGAGGCACTGGAACATAAAGCATCCATTGTGAATGTAAGAAACTTGAATGATGAGTTTTGTTTCAAGTGGACGATAATTGCGGCAATCATGAACAAATCAACCAAACGGAGTAGATGCAGCGGGTATAGGGTTAACATTGAAGATGATGTTATCACCCTCCAAAACGGATACCAATTGGATTTCAGTGGATTGGAGTTCCCTCTCAACCCCCGACATATCACGGATTTTATGAAAAAAAAACCTGGAGCTGAGCGTATCTGTTTTTGGATATGATGATGGATTAATTTATGGCCCCATTTTTTACCCACCTGAGGTGAAACCCCGCCACATAAATATGCTGCTTTTGGAGGAAGGAAATAAAGCGCACTACACATGGATAAGAAATCTTTCAGGGTGAGTCTTATTTATTATTTTTATTATTTTCCTATTTTTATTATTTTATTATAAATATATGCATATATATATATATATTTTTTTTTTTTTTTTTTTTATTTTTATTATTTTATTATTTTATTTTTAGTTTTATTTTATTTTTTATTTTTTTTTTTTTTTTTTTTTTTTTAAATTTTCTGTTCGCCCTTTTTTAAATTTTCTATTCACCTTATATATAGTTAAACGTTAGGGGGATTTTAGCTAATAGCTTATTTTTTATTATTTATTGTTTTAGTTTGGTTGCATCTCAGACGGGAAAAGGGAAAAGAAAGCAGTGGTTCTGCAATAGATGCCTGAATTATTCCTTAACTAAGGAAGCCGCCAAACGTCATTCTGAAGTGTGTAGCAAAATAGTTTCCAGACTGCCCCATCCGAAGAACGCCACCCTCCGCTACACGAATGTTCATAAGGAGGTTAAGGTACCATTTGCAGTATATGCTGACTTTGAAGCTATACTGCACCCTGATGAGAAGGCTATTAGTCAAAAACTATTTAAAATAAATACACATGTGCCTATAGCATATGCATATTATATTAAGTGCGCGTATGATGATAGTTTAAGTAAGATTGAAATTGAAACGACCTTAGAAGCAGGGCAAAATTTTGTGAATTCACTCATTACAAATTTAAAATTTATTTATTCAAATTATATTTCAAAAGAAGTTCCCATCCAAATGTCTATGGATGAGGAAGAAGAATTCCAAAAAACTGATAAATGCCATATCTGCCATAGTCCCCTTTTATTAGATAGGGTGAGGGATCATTGCCATTTTACTGGTAAATTCAGAGGTGCTGCACATAATGCATGCAATTTAAAATATCAAGTCCCAGATTTCATCCCAGTTTTTTTCCATAATTTCTCCAGGTATGATTGTCATTTATTCGTGAAAGAATTGGCTCTCATACCTGGAGAAATGAGTGTTATTCCATCAAATAAGGAGCACTATATTTCCCTCTCAAAAACTATAACTACTGATGATGGGGGAAGTTTTCAGATTCGCTTCCTTGATTCTTTCCGCTTCATGTCGTCCGCCTTAGACACACTTGCATCAAACCTAGATGATGATCAATTAGTAACAACGAAAACCTTCTTTGAAAATCAGGAAGAATTTTCTTTGATGAGGCGTAAGGGTGTATTTCCTTATGAATATTTAGATTCAGTTGAGAGGCTATCAGAAACTTCTTTACCTCCCCGAGAAGCATTCTATAGCTCCCTAACAGAAACTAATTGTTCGGAAGAAAATTATACTCATGCACAGAGGGTTTGGGATAAATTTTCATGTCAAAATTTAAAAGATTATTTGGAATTGTATTTGAAAACAGATGTCTTGTTAATGACAGATGTTTTTGAAAACTTTCGAAATATCTGCATGAAAATTCATTCATTAGACCCTGCGCATTTTTACACCTTACCTGGTTTATCATGGGAGGCCATGCTAAAATATACCGAAATTGAGCTAGAACTGTTAACAGATATAGATCAATTAAAATTTCTACAATCGGGCATTCGTGGTGGTCTCGTGCAATGTGTAAATCGATATTCAAAAGCTAATCATAAATATTTGGATTCTTATGACGATAAAAAAGAATCCCAATATTTATCATATATTGATGCCAACAATTTGTATGGATGGGCCATGTCCCAACCTTTGCCATATGGAGGATTTGAATGGGTATCAAGGGAAACCCTTGATAATATAAATATATTAGAGCACCCAGATGATTCTGAATATGGCTACATGTTAGAGGTAGATTTAGATTATCCGTTTAGCTTGCATGAGACTCATAATGACTTACCATTTTGTTGTAGTAATCAGCTACCAACACCATCATCTAAAGTAAAAAAATTAATAGCAGATCTTAAAGATAAAAATAAATATATAATCCACTATAGAAATTTGAAACAGTGCTTAGAATGTGGGTTACAATTAAAAAAAATTCATAGAGGTCTTCGCTTCTTCCAAAAACCTTGGTTGAAGAAATATATTGATCTTAATAATTTTCATCGTACAAATGCTAAAACTCCATTTGATAAAGATTTTTATAAATTATCAAACAACGCGATATTTGGAAAGACCATGGAGAACGTTGATAAACGCGTTAATGTTAAATTAATTTCAGAATGGGAAAGTGCAACTCCAAATGATTCTCCTGGTCGTAAAAGAGATTGCGCCCGTTCACTGATTTCCAAATCTAACTTCCATAGTCTGAAAAAATTTTCGGATCATTTTTATGCATTTCAAATGAACAAATTAAATGTTTTATATAATAAACCATTATATTTAGGTTTTTCAATTTTAGAAATTTCAAAATGGAAGATGTATGATTTTCATTATAATTATATGAAACCAAAATTTAATGAAAACATACAATTGAATTATATGGATACAGATTCATTTATATATACCATCAAAACTGATGACTTCTATAATGATATTAGAAATGATATAGAGTCATATTTTGATACATCTGAATTTCCAGATAAAATTGCAGAAACGTATAATTTTCCTAAAACCAATAAAAAAAGTTAGGGTTTTTCAAAGATGAACTCAATGGGAAACCCATGCTCGAGTTTGTTGGTTTACGCTCGAAAATGTATTCATATAAATTTAGTGATGGTGATGGTAGCGCTGAAAAAACAATAAAAAAATCAAAAGGTGTCAAACGAAGCGCGATAGAGAAAATAGACTTTCATGATTATAAAAAGTGTTTGCTTTCCGAGGAGTCTGTGATAGGGTCAATGGCAATGATTCGATCATCAAATCACATAGTATCTACTATTAGGTGTAATAAAATTATACTTAATAGTAAAGATGATAAAAGAATTATAGATTCTAATAAAATGGGCACTATGGCATATGGGCATTATAAAATAGAAGAAAAAGATTTAGAATGTAAAATAGCAGAATTAGATGTAAGTATTTTCGAATGGAATGAGAAAATAAAAAAAAATTGAAAATTGTACAAATAGGAGTAATTTAGAACAAAAAAAATTAGAAGAATATTTACAAAAAAGAGAGGAAGACCAATTTAAATTGGAAGTCAAGGAATTAGAACAAGACCTATTTATAATAAGAAAATCTGATGATTTTAAATAAAAAGTATTTAGATAATATATTATAATAAACAAGTACAATTTTATTTAAGAAAACTTTGTGAAACATGTAAAAACTTAATTCTAAGAACAAATATGTATTTTTTTTTTTTTTTTTTTTTACAATATAAATTTTTTTGAACAATAAAAATGATTAGTTTTATTTATATTCATTATATATTTTTAAGAACAATTGTATATTTTCTTAATCAATTTAAAAAGTTAGTAATAATAACAATTTTAGAAAAAAAAAAAAAAAATTTTATTTTTAAATAAAGAAACAATATAAATTTAAAAAAAAATTTTTTTAAATAACTTGATTCATTTCATTATTGGTGGGAAATTCTTCTTATGGATCTAATATATTAGATTTCACAATTTGGGTGTAATTAGTTAATCCTCCCTCCATTAAAATTACATCATTTTCGTTTTGGTTTGTATCATCAACAAATGGAGGGGGGAGGGGGTTTTCATCTTCTTGGTCTATATTTAAAGGTAAGATTTGTTTATAATTTTCAACCCCGCCTTCCATATAAATAAGTTCATTTTCATATAGCCGTCCTGCTTCTTCTTCTTCATCTGCGTTTACATAAAAAATCCCTTCTTCACTGATTAGATTATTTTCCAAAGCCTTATCTGTAAACAAAATTAAATAAATAAAAAAATAATTAGGAAATATTCAACTATATAAAAAAAAAAAATAATAAAAAATGTATAAATACAAATTTAGTTCACTCACCTTTTTCATTCATATCATTTCCCCTATCTATAGAAAAATAAAAAGAGAAGAAAAGAGAAGAAAATAAAAGAAAAAAAAAATTAGTATAATATTTCAAAATTGAAAATAAACATAAATTTAGTTTACTCACCTTTTTTATTAGTTGTATCATTTTGAATCTTGTTTTTCTCCCAGTCATAACCTTCACTAAATTTTATATTCTGGAAGAGAAATAACTTTTTACCTATGAAATTTCATCATTAAGTATTGATTGGAACTCATCAATGTTTTTAACCTTTATCTCATCGTTCGAAATCTGGGTTTCTTTTCTATTTAAATAATCATCTAACAGTCTATCTGCTATATTCCTCTTTTTTAAATATATTGCATTTATTTGCTCTGCCTCATCATTTCTAATTTCCCGCACTTGTGGTTCATCACTTAAATAACCATCGTTAATATCCTGATACCTGTTTTCTGTTGCAATTTGATGATCTGCCTCGCTCGAAATCTGTGTCCTAATTTTCTTGTCTTTCTTTCTCTCATTAACAAGAGCCTCTTGTGTTAACGCCTCAGCAAATTCAAAACAATTTATTCTAAGTGTTGATGGAGGAATATGATTTATTTTTTTATTGTCAGTATTTGAAGTGTGAGCTAATCTAGATCTATAGTGACATTTAATACCCACCTTGCCATTTGAATATGAAATAATAAAATATCTATTAGCCCCTCTGTGACCTAAATCGAAATGACCACCTATTTTTTTCTCCTGGGCTATTAATTTTTGCTTAAAGTTTTCTATTAATTTTTTTTTGGTTATGGCTATACCTGTGCTATTCATAGTTGAACTATTTTTTAACCTACGCGTCGTGTTTCTCTTCACTGGTATGCGACTTACATTATCCTCATCATTATCGGGTATCCCCAACATGATCTTAAATGAAGAACTATCATCCGCCATAGTATTCGCTGTAGTTGTAGAAGTTGAAGTAACAGCTGAAGTTGATGTTTCTGCTTCAAATGTTGAACTATTGAGTAATAGCCTTTCCCTGGTCATCACAAGAGTTGTATTTGATTCGTTTCCGGTAGTAGAAGGTAAAATTGGTTCCAACGTCCTCATCGATTGTTCTTCTCCATTCTCGAATAAAATTGGTGAGGGTGCAGGTTTATTTGTTGTTGTTGTTGTTCCATCATCATTGTCATCATCATTGAAAATTGGTGAGGGTGCAGGTTTATTTGTTGTTGTTGTTGTTGTTGTTGTTGTTGTTCCATCACCCTCACTAATGAGGGTTGTATCAACTTCTCTATCCTCATTCAAAATTGGTGAGGGTGTAGGTTTATTTGTCATTGTTGTTGTTGCTACATCATCATCATCATCATCATTACCCCCACTAATGAGGGTTGTTTCCAGCGTTGAAGTGGATATTGCTCCTCCGTCCTCGATGAAAATTCGTGAGGGTGATGAAGGCGGGGTTGACGAAATTCGCAGCAGTGAAGGCACCATATTCTCACTCTCACTTTCACTTTCATTTTCACTTTCAATTAATTTCTCATTTTTATCATTAATAATAGTTGAGGATATGTTTTTGTAAATTTCGGTATCTTCCAAAATTTCAAAATTAAATTCTATCCTCATTAATTTGTTCGAGTTCGGTAAATTCATTAAAAACTCAACTTCATTTGATGAATTCCATGAAGTTGAGTTTGTTAAATTAGCTAGTACATATTTAACCGGAGCAGTCTTCACGCCACACCAAATAGTCGCGAAAACGAAGATCACGACCGCGTTGAAAGACATAGTGATGTTTTCCAATGTAAGAATAGTTGGGAACTGATCTGGACCGAAAATTCATTCGCCCTTTTCACATTGAGAACGAGCAGAGAAATTAAACAAAACATAGACATTCACATGCACATACAAACAATTATCAAGATTTTTCTTCGGTTTGTATATAGAAGGCACTGCTCGCCACGCACTATCAGCCGCATACCACACACGCATATACACAGAGTATATTCCACATCGCCCTCAACGCACATCGCCCTCCACGCACTATCCGTCACGCATTAATTATAGAATTTCGTTTTTATGGACCCAGCTATCTTCTGACTTTGGAAAGCCTAGCCAGCGCACAAGCACACGATCCCCCTTCCGCTTCAAAATCTTCTCGACGAGATAAGTGTGGGGGAACAAAGTCTTTTTTATTTCTTGGGCATAGAAACCGCCTTCTATAGGGGTCCCCTTCAGATCTTCAAGTAAATAAGTGGTGGGGAATGTGTTGTTAACATGTCGTATTCGAAAAATTTCTGTGGTCCAGCTGGCCGTGTACCCCTTGTTGAATACATGTTTATATTTACTTATGCGTACAAATTCCCCTTCCCGTAAATTTTTGTTATTTAAAAATACTTTTCGGTGGTTGTAGACCGTTGATAAAAGTTGTTTCTCATTAGACGCATTGACGTCAATTGGTTTCATTTTTATTGTTCTATGCTTCCTGTTGTTGTAAATATCAATTAAGTTTTTATACATTTGAATCCATGTATATTTTCCATTGAAACTAAACTCACGCCACATAAGTTCTTTTAATGTTCTATTAAAACGTTCCACGATCGATGCTTTAAGAACACTAAAAGTTGAGTAATGATGAATTTTAAATCGCGTCATTAATTCTTGAAATTGTTTATTATAGAACTCATTTCCATTATCTGTTTGTAAATTCTTGGGTGTCCCTCGACCAGACTTTTAAATGTTTAACATAGCTTTGGTGACATCTGGTGCATTTTTTGATTTCACCGCCTCCCCAAACCCGAACTTCGAGAAACAGTCTATCACCACTAATAAATATTTATAGCCTTTATTGACAGTGGCATAAGGCCTCATCTCAACTAAATCAGCTTGCCACAAATCATTAATTCCTTTTACTATCACTCGACGTCGTGGGAAGTTTTTTAATGTGGGGCGATGTAATTCATTCACAATATCTCGCTTACTCATATTTTAATTTTATTCGGGATGAATGGTGTTCGCTCCTTAGATATTGTTTCACTTTTTAATATTGATTGCGGGTGAATTATATAGCTGAAAATACTATTTTCTATTTCATCAATTTGCATTATTATTTCACGAAGATTTTTCTTTAGATAATCAATTTTTGAAGAAATTTCATTCACTTTGCTCTCAACATGATTTATTCGGGGTTTTACTTTAAAAATTGACTGTTTCTGTGGTTGATTGGAAATTACAGTAGATATATTTGTTAATACTTTTCTTGTTTCATCATCAACATAATTCTTTGTTACTACATCATTTTCATGGATGGGAGGTAAACAATTTTTAAATCTTTTTCTCTGAAGATTTAAATTACCATCAGAGTCAGTGAGTAAGCTTTGAAATTTGATTACCCCCTTTTTAATCTCCCTTGAGTACTCTCTCTCAATTAAAAAACATCCAAACTTGTCGAGTGTCATTATTATTATAAATATAAAAGCTGAAGGAATGGTATATTTAACTTTCAACTAAATCAGTTTTCGGATCTCTTTCACGGTGTGCGAATGGGCTTTTTTTAAGCAAAGTTCCTTCTATTTCCACCTGTTGCGTACGAAGATTTGGTGGTGGTGGGTTTTTTGAGTTTATAAAACTATTAATATTTTCAATTTGATTAATTATGTTGTTCATCAAGATATCTATATTTTCTAATTGTGTAATCATTTTTATTGCTTTACTCTCCAACTCTGATACTCTTTTATTTCGATTCTCAAATGATTTGTCAATCGATTCCATTTGTAGTAATTTAACATCATCAATTTTCTTGTCTACATATAGTTTTATGACTAAGTCATTACCATTTATTGGTTGTGAAGAGTTTTTTATTCTTTTTCTCTGTACATTTATATGGCCATCAGTATCAAGATAAACACCCGTGAGACTTTCAAGCTCCCTTTTGAAAAGTGAGGAAAATTCTCTATCATTCGAAAAATGACCAAACTTGTCAATTGACATTTTAATATTAATTAAAAATTATAAAGTGTCTTCTATTTTATTAATATATTATTTTTTCTTCTCGCAATTCTTCTATTATCGATAAAATCTCATTAGAATGTCCATTATGTCCAGCAGCTTTTGAACTCATTAAAAGCTGTAACCTCTCTACAAGCTCGTTTAAGTTGTTCCAATAAATATATCTAGGTTTCGTTTGTTGAAGCTTCATATATGCTGACCCAGTATATTTTCGAGTGGGTGAGACAGCTGATGTCATAAGAGGTCTAATAATTGATGAATATTTCTTCGAGCGATTTCCTTTTAATTGCCCGTCGGGTTCATAGTTTCTTTTGTGAGCACTTGTCTCAATTAAAATTTGTTTATATATTTTTAAATCATCTTTAGTATAGTCACGAGGTGCGTTATGAAAAATTAGTGAGTATAGACCCTGTGTTAAGGTCCATGAGTTTCCACTCTCCAATTCCATTTTATTTTTTTGAATTTTAAGTGCACTATTACCTAACATCAATATATTATTTTCTTTTCGAGGTCCATAACTATTATCTAGATGCTTTTGTTTCTTTAAATGACTGACTAATGTTGAGATCGTACTCCACCCCTTTTTCTTTATTCACATTTTCTTGATCTTCTTCTTCTTCTTTTTCTTCATCTTCTTCTTCTTCTTCATTTGAATCAGAATCAGAATCAGAATATCTTTCAGAATCTTGTGAAAAAAATTCATCTTCGCTTTCTTTTTCGCTCACATACTGTTTTCTCGCGACATGATGCTCCTCCTCTTTCTTTATCAATGATTTTTTCTCAGGTACATTACCATCATTGGAATTTTTAAATTTCTTATTATCAGCAAGAATTGCATGTAAAGGCGCTGTAATTGGCTTAAAAGTTTCTTCTAAATTTGAAGCATTCTCATTTTTCATTTGTTTTAATTCATTGAACTTTCTTTTTAAAATATTTCTACTCTCTGTCAACTGTTTTAAGACTTGACGTTTCATTGCTCTAGTTTTCTCAGACACTCACTTGATACTGTGAGAAATGTAAATGTAATTAAATATTTATAACAAATTTATTTGTGTTTTTTGAAGAAATTTTATTTTTATTATTGCAAATATATAGCTTAAAAGTATTAAAAATGTATAAATTTTCATGATTTCACAACTTTATTTAATTCCAAGTACAAATTATTATCATCCTTTTTCAAAATATAAAAACGGTTATCCTTTATAATGTTGATTGTTGCATTATCTAAGGTTGAGTAGCGCTCCGGTAAGTATAAAATATACTCCTCAAGTTCAAGAGCAAGGGAAGTTCCATAGCTGGTTTTTTTACGTTGAGCATTCATAATCGGGTAAAAGCAATTTGTTTTCATCTTGTTCTTGGTGAGTAGAGGTTTGGCCATCTTTCCATTGAAGTCCTTAATAACTTTCATTACCATTTCCGGGTTGGTCATATTGCAGATGATTCTTGTTTTTTTCTAATTGATGGAAAATAAACGGAAACAGATTGTTGTTATTATATAGTTTAATAGTTGTTTAATTGTTGTTAATATGCAGTTAATAGCTGTTCTTACCTGTTTTTTTAACAGTTAATTGTTGTTAATATGCAGTTAATAGCTGTTCTTACCTGTTTTTTAGCAGTTAATCAACTGTTTTTTCCAGGCTGTTTATAGATGTTGTTGTTTGTTGTTTGTTGTCTGATTTTTAACTTTGACTGTGTGTTAAAATCATTTTCACACCAATTTTATAGTCGAGAGTAGAACAACCCTCTCAATTTTTGAAGACATTCTTTCATTTTAAATTCGGGAGCAGACCAATCAGAGAAGAGCATAGTTGAGACATAGGGTGGGTTTGAAACGATCTCAGAGAAAGTATTCTAAGATCTCACCCAACCATGAGGCAAATAGTTAAAAATAGGGTGGGTTTGAACGATCTCAGAGAAAGTATTCTAAGATCTCACCCAACCATGAGACAAATAGTTAAAAATAGGGTGGGTTTGAAACGATCTCAGAGAAAGTATTCTAAGATCTCACCCAACCATGAAGCAACTAGTTAAAAAATAGGGTGGGTTTGAAACGATCTCAGAGAAAACTAGAGAAGAGTGTAGACCAATCATGAGTTGATAGAGAGTAAAAATTGTAGAGACAGGTGTCCACAATTGTTTGTATTAAAGGCT